TCACTTACACTTTTAACAAATTCACTTGATCTACAGTGTCAGATGGTAAACACAAATGAGCACAAACAAATACAAATACACCCACCAATAGTTACGCTTGCTCTTGAAATGTAATTTACTACAGAGCTTCTAAAAACATTTATGTAGCCAAATTACCCCCTACAACATCCTGTGCATGCTATGTGAAAGAATATTTGCATATATATATAAACAAAATATACACATTTTTTATATATGTAAGGGGAATGTGGTCAATTTGTAAACTAGAAGGTGATATATAAAATTGGTGATAAAAAAATGTATGGTAGAAGATCAATAGATGAATGTTTCATTCTATCATTTTCATTGAACCGGAATTGTAAAAAAAAAAAACATGACCCACCCCTGAAATACACAATCACACACAAACAACACCTTCCAAAGAACCAGAGAAAAACGTGCCTTGAGAACAGAGTGAGGGCAGCCATTGTGACATGATCAGAGTCTGGCCCATCAACAGAGCCTCCTAATCCATAATCATCAGAGCAAAACTCACAGGATCGCTTTCCTCAGGCTTGGATTAGTGTTAATAACTGAATCTTGCAATCCAAAGGAAGCACTGCCTCGGTAATCCTGAAGGCAAACGTACTGCTTGTGAGGCATTCGACCCATGATGCCTAAATCCTACAAGCGAAGTGCAGCTGCCTAAAACTTTCAGCTAATATGATAACAAACAAAGTTTCAATGACAAAGTTTATGTTTAGTAACAATGTGTTCTGCTCCAGATCAAGAAAGATGATGCTAAGGTTAAGAATCTTAGAATTAATTTTACAAAGCAAAATAAATTGAAATAAAATCGAAAATAAAATGAAAATAAAATATTAAAAACTGCAGTCGACCTATAAACTAAATATGCATGACAGAAAATAAAATACTAAAGTACTGTTTAGGCCAACTTTGACAACTCATTCAGTCAAAGTGTAATATATTCCTTATAATGCAATTAATTTTGCAACCACTTTGGTACTTGTAATCCTACTCTGTAAAATTTTCAACCAAAGATGCAAAATATTGTGCCACTTTCTTCAGTCTCTGTAGTTATTTCTGAAACCCATGTTATATGAAAGTTGTAATCTCCTTTACAATATAAAATAATGTTGATTAACTTTCAAAAAACACACAATTTCCATGTTTGACAGTATTTTTGCAAACATTTCATAATGGAGAGAAGAAACGTGTCTTGCTTCATCATAAAATAGAATAGAATGGCACAGACTTTCATCTGAAATACATTACATAAAGCTGATGTCCTTTTAACATCTCCACTCCAATGCTGCTCATTTTGTGCACCATTCATTCATGTTTAAAAAAAAAAAAGCTTGCTTTTTCTGGTTTGTCAATGGCTACACAAAGCCCTCAAATAGGTGTGTATTGGTCACCCAACAGCTTCTCAAATCTTTTCAAAGAGTTACATTTCAACTGACAATAAAAATGAAAATGGCCCCCTGGCTTAATTGAGGGTCTTCTAAAGGCTGAAATAGAAGTTCATGCTTCTGGGTTCCCATAATCACCTTTACACATCACATAAAGTGGGGGCATATGGAATGCGCAAGAGCTAACCGGGTCCAAATTCACATGTTCGGCATGCCAGCCACTAATAGAAGGAAGATACATGACGAGCTGGCAGCCGTAGAGAGCGATCAAGATGTAGCGCTGATCGAAATAGAGAGCCAACCCAATCGCAGCAGCCGTTAATGAAACGTATAACCGGCAGGTTGAGCTCTGAATGCTATTGATTGGAATGTAGAATCCATAAAACACCTATTGAACCAGTGAACAGCTGTATTCCAGGACTGAGTGAGCCTCGTCAAAGCCCTTACAATGGCTTGCATGTTGTCTGTTGAGCTGCAATAGTGTGTACGCTTTGGAAAACTTCATTTTAACAAATCTTAAATAGCTCATCAGTTGAGTATGTCACATCATTCCCACTTAATGGACCATCTGGCTTTAATTAACCGATTTCTCCACTGGCTACACTTAGAAGTGCCCGCAGGATTCTCATCCATGATACACAGAGGACTACATCAAGGTGGCACTAATGTATTTATACAAGAATCACAACTTTGAGACAGAAGGGATCACACACTCCAAATCTGATTGTTGATTCTGTTGCAAATCGGAAAGAAAACAAATAGAGCTGTGCCCATTAAAACAACAGCAAATTTACGAACCAAAGTCACTCAGAGCCACTTCTCACATCAGTCCACATTAATTTGTTAATAGCCTACTAGAAAAGAAACCATAAAGCAATCTATTTGTTTTTCACAGAATTCAGTACATACTGTGAAGGAACAGGAAATTGGAAGCAGACCTAAGCTTTTGAGTTTTTTCTAGTCCAAAACCAATTTCCCCCCCCTCCTGATTGGGAGGTTTTGATTGCTTTTTCTTGATTGGTTTAACATTAGCTAAGTCAGAGAGTGCTATAGATCAACCTTACTAATTTGTTAAGTGTTTTTCTGTGCAAATGCCCCAAGCTGACCACTACAGTGTCAAGGTTATCAAGGAAAATCTATTTTTCAGTTCTAAGCATTCAGTGCTAAGAACATGTCAATAAATGCCCCATCCCGTATCAAAGGAAATTTTATCTAATTCCTTCAAGCGCAAGATTTTCCAATTGCAATGAGTAATGGAGATCTCAACATTCATTTGAAATCTAAAAAGTTAACATAAAAAAAACTAAATCATTTAACATAAATGGACAAAAACAAATGTAAAATACATTTATTTTCTCTTGAAAATGAGTTCCCTTAAGAACAGTTTGCCTTTCATTAACAAGCACTACAGACAAATGAGACACACCGGTTTAACACTTTAAGTACAGAGTTTAAAAGCATACATATCAGTCCACTCTTCTTTGAAGGTTCTTTTTTTCCAGTTTCTTTTCTTTTTTTAATGTCACCATATCGTACGGAATCGTAATCTACAGTATGACATATCCTGCCCTATATCAAGAGTGAAATTGCCATATATGCTACCTATAAGAAGATATAAGCTTATAAAAAAATTATATTTTCATGTTATAGATTTCAGATCTATATGATGATTTTTTTAATGATATTACAGTATATGTAGCTGTATATACTTCATATGACAGTATATTTCATATATGGAAATTTAATATATGTATGTGTGTTATATTTGTGTATGGGATTATTGACATGGGCTGATGTGCAGCTGTATCAGCTGCTGTTACTCATCTCTTGTAAGGCTGAAGATTTATATAGCCATGCTAGAGCTGTCAATTTGTTAATCTACTTAATTTAGTATAATAATCATGAATCATTAATCGCATTTAATTAAGACCCCTGACCTGTACTACATGCGACACGCATGTACCAAATCACATCTAACTAAAGCAGGTGGCACAGATTGAGATGTTAACACAGAATGCCATCTTGCATTTTAAAACAGCTGGACGGAGTGCAACGGCCAAAGGCGTCTGTCTAGCACATATTTACAGTACACAGACAAACAAACATGGTGTGGAGTGGACTGTAGATTTATTGTTGATTTGTTTGTTTTTTATGTTGATGTATGTTAAATTATATGGAAATAAAACTAACAATTTATTGACTTCTAAGGACACTTACTGTAATTCTACCTGTATGACTTTTTCTTCTGTGGAACAAAAAAGAGAACATTGTGAGAAATGCTTGAGATTTTTTTTTCTATCCAATTCAACTCACCAAAACTGTTTGGTTACCAACAATCTTCAAAATATCTTTTGTGCTCCTCCGAAAAAAATAAGTCATATAGGTTTGGAACAACATTAAGCAGAGTAAATGATGACAAAACTTTCTGAAACTCTCTTTCATAAACACGAGAAATTGTGATAAATGTGATCAGTTATTCAGCATATCATGTAATTACTGTAATTAGTTTACTTTAATTGATTGACAGCCATAATAAAAAAGAACTGATCGGATAAAACATGATCAAATAAGTGCAACTAAACTCATGCTGGCTTGGTTTATATTCAATAAAATATAATAGCTGGATTTTGGGCTAAAAAAAACTTTTAAAAAGGTTAAACACTTTGGATATGGATTGATGTCCACTAACTGACAACCACTAAACGTTGAACTCACTGCAGAGTTTTGCGATTTGATCAAAATCCGCAGGAGGTCTGCATAACAATGATTGATAGGCCAGATTCGGCCCGTGGGCTGAGAGTTGCTTCTATAATCTCCATAGCAGGAGCAAATATTAACATTTAATTAGTTTGACAAACATCCAGTCCATTTTTCCTTCACCATGGCTAGCAGTATATGTGTATGAAAAATCAAAACCAGCTAAAAGACAGCTCTGGGTTTATCACTGTCTGCATCTCTTTATCTATCCTTCCCTTCCATCGACTTCCTCCTACGCATGATCTAAATGACCTGTCGGACTATCCAGCCCTTTCCATTTTCTTTAGAGAACTTCCTTCTCTAATATCTTATTGATCCCACATGTAATGACCCATTAAATGTGAGTGTGTGCAGTGTTTACTCTGATGTTCGTGTGTATTCTGTTCATTCCATCAGTCGAACAACAACATTACTGCACATCTGTGTTCTACATCCAGGAACCTGGGATTAGTATTTGATGACCACTTAAATTTCACCTGGTCTTACAGGTTCGTAATATTACAACATCTCTCAATTCTCTTTAACTTTTCTGCATCTGTACTTCTGCTCCAGCTCAAAGGCTCTGCTGAGACGATGCGTTATTTCTTAGTCAATCTAAGACCGTGGTTATTCATTTCAGTCCTCGCGACCCCCCGCTCTGCACATCTCGGAACACTGTGCAGGGACCATGTCAATCAGAACACAGTTCATGCATTGAGCTCTCCTCTAACAATCTGGTTATCTGAATCAGGGGTTTTAAATAAGAGAGACATGCAAAATATGGAGAAGAAGGGGGCCGCGAGGACTGGAATTGAGAACCGCTGATCGTGAACAAGAACGTGAACTGCTTACCTTCCTTTTGGCTCGCAGTTGGCCCTGATAGTTGTCTGATGAGTCTCCAGGAATCTCTCCTCCCCAAAGCGTCAACCCGACTATAGTGTAGGTAATTCCCATGACCACCAGGGGCAGAACATACACCAGCAATGCCACAATGGTATGATACCTGTAACCAGAGAGAGAGAAATGTAGCGCCTGTGTTGCCAATGAAGACACAATTCTTAGACAAATAGGGGAGTCACTAACATCACTTACACACTGTGTGAACCTTTTTAGACTGTATTTAACTCCAAGAGATCTTGGGAAAAGCTCAGTGTTGCCCAAAATATAAAAATTGTGACACAAATCCTACAGTGTGATTTCAGATTTATTCACATTTTCCGTCTTGCATCCAACCTTACAGTTCTACAATAACTTTAAGAATAATGCATTCTCAAACTGGACTGGTGTGCAATCAAAACACTTGTGAATGCTGAAACTCTGTTGACACTGACACTATTTCCATATACTAGCTATGTCGAGAAAAAAAAATAGATTTAATATTGCTAAAGTTGTTGTTAATAATAACATTCCTAATAAAAATGATTAATAATATTAATTATAACTATTATGAATAATCTTTATAATTAATAACAACAAGCATAAATATTATTATTATTAATAACAATTACTAGTAGTAGTAGTAGTAGTATTGTGGTTGTTAATAACAATAGTTGTCTTGATATTATTATTATTAACAACAACAACAGTTATACAAATTAATAATAAAACCAATAATGATAATTATAACAATAGCTGTTAATGATAAGAAGAAGAAGAAGAATACTTGTTGTTGTTGATGATGGTAATGATTATTATAAATATTATTATAGTAATAGTAGTAGTAGTGATACTAACAACTATTTCTGTAATTATTAGTATTAGGATTACTGTTGTACAGTAATCCTACTGTTGTTAGGATTACTGTTGTGTTCTTACTGTTGTTGTTAATAAGAACACAACAACAATTATATTCTTCCTCTTATTATTATTAATAATAATAATAATAAAATGCCTTTCATTCAAGATTGTAACTCAAAGTGCTTTACAAATAAGCTGTGAGGAAAGGAAGAAAATTATGCAAGCATATTTAAAGAGCTCTCACATGAAAGGGTCCTCTGAAGGTCTCGGCCAGGCAACGTAGCAGAGGGTCCGCTTGGGTAATTTTTTGATGGTTGAAAAGAAACACAGAGGAAAGGCCAAAACCACAGCCAGCATCCAAATACACACAATGATCACCTTAGTGGCTGTGGCTGAGAGTCGTGGTTTCAGGGGATGGATGATAGCCATGTACCTGTGCAACAGAAACAGATGACTCTTCAATCTCACGCCTCAAATATAGTCTGACGGCTTCACATAACATCAATATGATAAAACATCAAAGACACGCCACAGTTGGGCAATTTTCAATTTGCAGGTTGTGTAATGATCTAATAGCTGACTGATAATGGGTCACATCAAAGAGACCATTCATATCTGTTGCTGTGTAGGTGTGAGCTAAATCTTTCTCTCCATTGCTATGCAAGAATTCAACCTACCAAGCGAATACAATATTTCATAACTGAACAGTAATAAGAAGAACTGAACTTTCACTCCAGTTCTTCATTTCAACTATATGGAAACACTGATCAATCATATGCCATTGATTACTTCTGAAATCAGGACCATAATGTGAGGCTAAGCCTCTGTGGTTAACATATTCAACATCATTCAAGAGTGATGATAAGCCATTTGTTTTGTTAACGACTCACTCTTGTAAGCAGAGAATGGCTTATTAGAAAACCAATTATACTCTTGGGCAGAGAAGGTTATTTTGGGAAATGGACGGCATGGATGCCAAAGCATTTATGTAGGCATCTTGGATGTACAACAGGAAAGACGACAGAAGGGTACACTGTATTAGTTATAATAGTCATGAATCTAAATCTCAGCATGTATCTAGTAAACATTCACAAATGTAGATTAATTCATATACTGCAATTAAAAACAACTCATTATGTCATGCTGTGATGTGTTAAGTTGCCACATTCATACAAGCCAACACATTTTATGGATACAGTACAATTTGTCATCCCATTAAAGAAACTAATCCTGTTATTTATCAAATAAATTTGCCTTTATTTGATGTTTGAAACTAGCTTTTAAGGCTAGATAGTCTATATCTATCTATCTATCTATCTATAAAATTGTTGCCAAAATGCAACATTTTTCCTTGAATTTATGGAAAATCAAAGTTATCAATAAACACAAAACATTTCGCAAGCCACGTCTGACTATAGCATCTTAATTTAAGCTATACATACATACAGCAGACCAATTCAGCTATTTTAGAATTTCAAACCCTATTGTGTACTCTATTCATGTAAAATCAGTCAGCCAAATAACACTGCATTAAAGTGTAATGCCACTGATGACAAAATGTTTGAACTGACATTGAACCGAATGGCCTCCACTATTCTTTAAAAATGTTGCACATAACAGTTTCATTAAAGTTTCATAAACCAACAGAATGAGGTTTTGTTAGCAATGCCATCTCTCTGACAGTAAAATTAAACATTTATCGTACTGAAAACACTGTCTGGGCAAGTGGTGTCAGCACAAATCTCACACTTTCCTCCAAATGCAGCAGTGCAAGCATACTGACCAACTGCAAATTCCTACAGACGTCACAATTGCTCTGTATATAAGAGTAGTGACTGCCTACCAGCAAAACAACAGTAACAGCAAATGTGGGTTGTGAAATATGAAGCCTGGAGCCACGAGCACTATGTGACATTTTGTGCACAGGAAATAACTGTGAAGAACACTCAGACTGAATCTGGTTTCTCTTATCTGTTATCATTTCCCTACTGCAGTAACTATGCCTGGGTTGCTAATGAATACTGGTCGCAAAAAACACAATTTTCCCTGTATTAAATGGGTTATTTCACACATTAACATTTTGTTTTTATACACCAAGGTCCACTTAATATTATTAGTGAAGGTTTTTGGGCCAAAATCAGTCATAATATAGCTTTTTATGACCATATTCCATTTTCATCCTTCAGTATTAAATATCTTTGAAAAGTCTGCATGAAATCAGAAAATAACCCACTCTGAAATGTGCAGCACAGACTGTTCAGACTGAAATTACTAGGGACCTTGAAAAAGGATACGCAAAAAAAAAAAAAAAATCATGTCAATCAAGTCATTTTTGCAGTTTAGTTTCAATAAATGGTCTAATGATTTCATAGTAGTTTGGATTTGGATTTAATTAGTAACTTGAGATTTTATCTCAAAACATCAATGAAAGTTTTTTTTCCCAAGGATAGGACCATTTTAATTGAATTACTGTACTTCTGCTTTTACAGTATTAAAAAAATATAAAAGCCTTGTAAATTACTACAGTTAGGATACATCCTCAAAACAAGTCCACTTTTTAGAATAAATCAGATTATATCAGGATTGTAATGCAAAAGTGTTTCAGCTCATCAACTGCCAACTCATCTTTTAAGCATATTTCATCTTATACTGAAAACATGTGAAAAATGTTGGCTGAATAATAGCTTAAGTTGATTTTAGAGTGATCTAAATTCATATTAATAAGCATTATACCCGATTAACCTGACATGTAACTAGAAGCCATAGTTGAAGTCAACGTGATAGAAACCCAAGCTTCGCGCCATGAGCTTCATATCAGTCTTAAATGTAATAAAAAGTTATATTGCTTCTATTATTTTCACTAGTGCAAAGTGACAACTTGCTTTCTGACATGAGCTCCACTGACAGGACACAGAAAAATCATGTTTAATTTTTGACATTAGAGTGGTGCCTGTCAAATATACAGCTACAGTGTTTAGCTCTTGGACTCATTGTACAGCATTGCACTCTGACAATTCATCTTTCACTAGCTGCAGAACTCATAACGCTCATGATTCAAGGGCCATAGATAGCATCAAAAATTATTTACCATGTACCCCAAGTTCAAAAGTCCCATTTGATGCACATTATTTTCACATTTTGTGAGATTAAAGTCTGAGATGTCTAATCAGAGGACAAATAAGGAAATATCAGCAGGGTGCTGAAAGGAAAAGGATGATAAAAAAGGCTCAGCATGACATCTGAAAGGGGTGAGAGAATCTTCCTAAAATTTTACAAATTTTATTCATAAGTATTATAAGTATTATATCTTATATTCACTTATAGTCACTTTCACAGACTTTTTCATTAACTGTTCCCTCCTGGTGGAATGACCTGCCCAAATCAAGTCCTTAACCATCTTCAAGAAATGACTAAAAATACATCTGTTCCACCTTTATTTGACCCTCTAACTCTAACACTTTCTATTCTATTTTAATTCTACTTTATCTATATTTATCTTTTTGTTTTTTTATTCTTTATTTAAAAAAAACAACAAAAAACAAAAACTAGCTTTCTATTTTTTCTATTCTATCTACTTGTTTTTCTTTGTTTGTTTGTTTGTGTGTGTGTGTGTGTGTGTGTGTGTGTGTGTGTGTGTATATTATATATATATATATATATATATATATATACACCTTGCTATGTTAGGCTAACCGAGACTTGTCATTTGCACTTATATATTGTTGCTCTTTTGTTAGTTTTGACTGCTTTTATTGTCCTCATTTGTAAGTCGCTTTGGATAAAAGCGTCTGCTAAATGACTAAATGTAAATGTAAATGTAAATATTGAGCAAAAACACATTAAACTGATCAAAAGTGACATTAAAGATGATTGTTACAAAAAAAACTGTTTTGAATAAATGCTGTTAAATAAACTTTGATCAAAGAATCCTGAAAAATAAACAGTAATAAGAACCAATACAGCTGCAAGCAGCGATTACAGGGGGAAAACATTACGTATTATTTAGCAAGCCTTGTAACCTACTAAATTAATTATTAAAACGAGCATTTTGGAAATTTCAGGTAATTTACCATAGAAATATGTTTTTTACATTTATATATATGTTATAGCGCCACCTATAGTTTCATCTCCATAAAACTTTGCCTGCTTGTTTGAAATTATATGTAGCATGTGCTCACTTAGATTCTTTAAGTTTTCATTTAGGATTTAGGTTTTTGGGTATATTTGGCCACGCCCATTTTTAAATGACCCTGTTATAGCTACCCAAAGTGTAAAGTTCAACTTTTTTTTGATAATTATTGACCTAGAGAGTCCAGAGAATTGCCCTGCAGTGGTTTTGTTGAGGTTGAGCGAAACACCTAGGACTAGGTTTTTCAAAAAATCTAAAATAGCCGAAAATTTTACTGATTGAATCTGTCATGTGCATTTTGTTAGTCTTGGCCGAAGGATTCCCATGATATAAGACACTTGAGTATCTGACAAGCACTTTAGGAATTATGAGCGATTTCGTACTTTCGTACAGGCCAATCGGGGTGAGCTTTGGTGATGTTGTAGACAGGGTGGGTACCATCATCCCTCAAAGATTTAGGTGTTACGGTTTGGTTTGGTTTAAATTGTAGTAATATTTCACTGTACTGTTTTTACTGTATTAAATAATGCAGCCTTTGTGAGCATATAAGACTTCTAAATCATTTAAAAATTCTTTTAAATCATCCTTTTCCAAATCTATCACTGTACTTTACTCTAAGTACTCTACTGTAAAGTACTTTTAATACTTTAAAAGTACAAATTGGAACCTAGAGTGGCTCACATTAGTACCTTTTGAAAGGGTTCCACCCCAGTGACAGTTTTGCACATTCTCCTGAGAGTGCAAACATATTTTATGCATCCTAAAAACTTGGGTGGGTGAAAAAAAACTTGTAACTTGTAAACTTGTAACACAAAAGTTCCAATGCAGTGCTTGTGGCAAAATAACTTGACAGCACTGAGACTCTGAAATATTCAGCATTCAGTTGCACTCATTCATATTAGTTTGGATCCGTCTTTTAAAATCTCAATTTCAAGAAACTGCATCTGATTAGAGGTAAAAAACAAAACAAAAAAAGAATCAAGATCAATGAGCGCTAGACATAGAAGCACTAGCTCTCTGGAAGCACTAAATGCAAACTATTTCTCTATCTGTGTTGACTGTCTACTGTTCAGAGAGAGACAATTAATCTACTATTGAATTGGTGTGGATTCCTTTCACTACTAAATATGTTCAGGCCAAATTAATTTTATGATGCACAGTAAAAAACCTTCAAACCTTGAAGAATTATCAGTGTAGGAAGAGAAGCATGACAGTGTAATATTGTGAATGTGGAGGCTAATTGCTTTGAAGCTACTTGATTAGCACAATTTTATGGCTCTAGGAAGCACTCATTACACAGTATTACTTAGACATCATGTGATCTCCACATGGCAGCCCCCATGAGCGACTACTCTAAGTAAAATTAAGCTTGTATTAGGTTGCTGTACATGATTTCTAACATGTTCAAAAGTAATAATCATTAATAATCCGAGTTATTCTTTATTGTGACAAATGCTCAACTGCTCGCCAACCTTACTTTTTAAAGAATACCACTGATTTATCATCAGAATTGATTCAATTCGATTTTGAGCTTTTCAATTCAGGCTAAGAATTATACATTAAATTATACTTGTGATATTAATGCTTTCAGTTGAACTGTGTGATTTCCATGAACAGAATGAATGTGCATCTGCACCCTGAAGGTGCTGTAAATAAGTTAGCAGAGCTCACCGATCCACAATCATTGTGCAGCCATTCATTTCAACTCAAGCATTCTGCTAGGAGTAGGAAGGACTGCCTGAGGCACTTTTCCCGGTTAAGAAAAATGACAGACACATGGAGCACAACAAACAAACTAATATCAGCATACAAGTAACACATAAATAATGGTTTAAATCAATCTTAACCGAATCTGTAAAATATATTCAAATCCATATCAAAGGACAGATTATAAGTACACACGGAACTCTTTAGAACAAACAAGGGGGAGAAAGAGGGGGAAAGCATAACAATTGGCTTTATAAGGAAATCATGTCACTGTGATATTGGAAATATTAATAAAATGGCATGCCAATTAATTAATGTTGCAATAAATATAAAAACACAGAATCTCTTCTATGATGTTTTCAATTATATTGCTATTTATTATGTAGGCTAATGTATTTATTATACATAATGATTATTTTCATTATTTTATTAAAAAATATATATATGTTTGTTTTGTTTTTTTTGTTTTTTTTTATTTATTTATTTATAAAGCAGTAAAGCAAATTAGTTTTAAATATTCTTAATATCTGAAGAACTGATGTCTGCCAAATCAATGTCAGTGTGAATCAATCAGCATAGAAGCCATTTTGTCGACATGTGACAAAAAAGCAGAGTATCTTCAATTAGATCATCAAAAAAAAAAAAAAACGTACAAATAATGTACATATATTTATAATATTTTAATCGATGCTGCACTACATTTTAGATTCTTTTTTTTCTTTTTCAGAAAACTTTTTTTTCTACGTTTTTCATTAATTAATTAATATAAATATAAATGTAAAAACGATTGCATTTCTAAAAACAACAACAAAAAAGTTTAGGCCTATTGCGATTGTGTTGCAGGGTTTAGAGTATCTGATCCCGCACTTTCAACACTGAATGAATAAAAGGCATGCATTAAACACGACAACCATCGAGTTCTCACAGTGATTTAATGTATCTTCACATGTACTCTACCTGTCGACTGCTATTGCGCTCATGGAGTAAATGCTCGCAAACACGGAGGTGACGGGGAAAAAGTTGTGAAATTTACAGTAGGCTTCTCCAAAATACCAGTCACCGTGCGTGGCATAAATAAAATTAATCAATGTGTTGAAGGCGGCCATCGATGCGTCTGAAAACGCTAGGTTGAGCAGAAAGTAATTGGTGACGGTTCGCATCCGCTTGTGAGCCAGAATGATCCACATGACGATCAGATTCCCGAACACCGCGGTCGCCAGGATGGAGCTGTACGCCACAGACCAGAGCGCGACGCGCCACGGTGGCTGCACGAACTGGTTTGTAAAGTTCCCCGTTAGGTTAGATCCGTTCTGTGGCGGTGCCATAGCGAAACTGTCCAGAAATCTTCAGTGGACTGGAGACCGCGCGCGATGCTCTCTGTTCCAAACGCGCGCGAGAGTCTTTCGCTCAAGCGGAAAACGGCAACATGCCACTTATAAATGGTCGATCTGGTGGGAATCGATGCAAATTGAACCGACTAACGAATTCTGTAGTCTTCTCTATCATTAATTAAATCGCTTTTAAGTTATAAAATGCGCGCGATTGTCTTTTGACTCCTGTTGAACGCAGCCACGAGCGCAACACACTCTGTAGTCAGATGCAGTGCCATGCACAATGTGACAACTGGTCTAACTAGTGCCACTGGGAGAGACAGTGATCGATTGATTCATGTTGTAGAGACAAGTACAGACAAGGACAAATTGGACTGAATCCTGAATCAATGGGTAAAATACATTTACGAAACAGGTCAATGCCCAGTAGTTCAGAAAAAAAGAAAAAAAACAAGGGCAGAGGCTGTTGTGCCCAAAAACAATGTCATAGTATAAAGTTAGTTACGTAGGCTATATTTAATCATATAAGGACCATGGACCATTTGTGGTCATAGTCAGCTCCTGTGTTTCTTGGTGCATCATGCCAAACACATAATGGATCAATTGCATTAGAAACATTAACCACATCATGCAATTATCATATTGGTTTGCTCATGGTGCTATGGTAAGAGACAATCATTTTCATACTTCTCACAGTGAAAGAACCAAATCCAACGTTATATTATGTACACATTATATCAAACTAGACAGTTTAAACAAACCCATTGGTTAAGCTGTCGGTCACCATCTTCATGGCAGCCATATTATAAATTTGTTTTATATCGTAAACCCTGAGCTAAATGAAATTCAGTATGCAATTTCATGTGCACATTGTAACCTTGGGAGAAATGTAAAATACAGCTGGGGCGATGAGACTGGTTTATAGAGCAACTGCAGCTGAAGGTGATGCACATTTGATGGTTATCATTAATATTTGAGGAGTCTAATAAATGCAATGCATGTTCTCTCTGCATGTAGCAGTGCAAAATGGTAAACGATTATAGAGTAAATGACAAACCTCAATAAGATCACAAACAGCCTAAAATACAAGGAAAAGCAACAAGATTTTCTTAATGTAGACCTAACATTGGGAAATTCTATCATCCCCGTGACAGGTAAAATATGTTTACCAGTCTCTTAAATAAGATTGAGTGACATTATTGCAACCGCAACCATCACCTGCATTCATTTAAGACTTCTCTCTATTCCTTAGTAAAAGTTTGTCTCAGCAGCTTTGTGAATAGGTTTTAAGAGAAAACTCTTAGCTAAAAACATTTACTGCTATTTAGGAGAACACTTAGTGGTAAGATAAAATGTTTTGTGAGTACGGGCCCTGATTCTGAAAAGTGTTATACTGCGAGATATTAGTGGTTTCTGGAAAAGATATAAATGAAACCATGCTGAATATATAAACAGCATATATAAACTCATGCTGAAATACCACTGCTTGGAGTCTTCACTGGAGCATCGTTTCTCGGGAAATGGATGGTTTTCCGTGGGTCTGCCATCAACAAAGTGGAAAGAGCAAACGTACGGAAGTTTCAGTGGTTTCTTTAAGTTTAAGGCTTTTAACCAAAGCCGACGAACTTCTTCTCCCTTCGGAGAGGCATGCAAATCATAGGGTGCCCGACATCCACATTCAGCTCTGATGGTCAAAACAAATGTCTTGCAGGTATTTTTTAATGCTTAAACCAGCTATTATGGCACCCCCTAACTACACAAAGTACGCCAGTCTTTCTGTGGTCCATATTAAAAGTAAACTAGCCTGTAAAATCTACAGTACACAGTGACCACAAAACTACGGAATCACAATACAACTACTATTAGCGGAAGTGCTTTACCGGAAATCTGACACATTATAGTTTGAAAATGGCAGCGCCCAGGCGTGAAAAATAAGGTGGATAGTCTTTGTATCAGTTCTAGACACTGCCTTATTCAGCTTAAAGTCATTCACAGACTACAATATAAAAAAAAAGAACTACTCTTTGTGACAAATGTAATTCAGTAGATGCTGATTTGTCCCATAGTTTTATTTTTTCTCTGAGATATGGAGTTATTGGAATGGAATTTTTGATGTGCTTTCTGAGATTTTTAGGGTGCAAATGCAGCCGGATCCGGCACATTCTGGGACTTTCTGAAAGTATGCATACATTATCAGGAGCACAACACAAACTGCTTGCATAGAGTTGAATTACTGCCAAGAAGTTACTACTGCTGTTCTGTAAGAAATTGGAGGCTACAGTCAAATTATGGCTTGGAGAGATGGTTTCTACTTTACATTTGGAACGAATTAGATACTGTTTGAAATTTGAGCAGTTTGACAAAATCTGGCACCCTTTTCTCTTGTTATCTTGATGGAAACCCTATGGACTTATGCATCCTTTGTTAATGTAATATTTGTAATATTATTCTTCATCATACTTGACAATTTAATGTAAACAGGTCTGGTAAGGGATGGTTTGTGATGTTTTTTCCCCCTCTTTTTCTAATTTTGATTGTATTCTTTGTACAGGTAAAAGAGGCGAAATATGTACGATTGCAAAACCATCTCCAAAATCTTTGTCTTTCAATAAAACTCCTCTGACAAAAATAAATAAATAACATCAGAAAAAACTATTAGGTCACGCTCAGTACCAATGGCAATAGTCCTGGAACTCACTGAACATTTTGAAGAATCTCTAGGTGTCTATAGTGTCTCAAGACTTTTCCCTTATGATGGGGTTATTGGATGAACTGTTGCCTGTCTTTAGAGCTCGTGAAGGAAATGATGGGATCCGTTTTGTTCCTCAGAAAACTGGCATTTTTAAAGGGTACCTGGAGGTTCTCCAGTGGGTCCTTCAGTAGTGCAGCAATATGTGTCCTGTTTTTACATTGTATTAAAGGGATGGTTCACCCAAAAATGAAAATAGTTGATGCCAGCTATTAACTTCCATATTTTTTCCATACTATGGAAGTCAATGGCTACTGTCAACTGTTTGGTTATCAACATTCTTCAAAATATCTTCTTTTGTTCAACAGAAGAAAGAAACTGATACAGGTCTGGAACAAATGAAGGGTGAGTAAAAGATGACAGAATTTTCATTTTTGGGTGAACTATCTCTTTAATATCCAATTACAAGAGGTCAGGCAAGACAAATCAACACTTGCACCTGGTTGTCGAAATAAATTATAATTAAAAATTAACTAAGCTAAAAGCGAGTTGTACAAGCTACAAGTGTTAGGCAACACAACATTATAATGCACAGTATTAAAACTGGATATTTGTTTTAAGATTTAAACATTTAACAGTGCTAATAAATTATTAGTGTTTTTAAAGGGGTCATATGGTGCGATTTCACGTTTTCCTTTCTCTTTGGAGTGTTACAAGCTGTTTGTGAATAGATAAAATCCCTAAAGTTGCAAAGACTAAAGTCTCAAACCCAAAGAGATATTCTTTATAAAAGTTAAGACTGGTCCATGCCCTCCTAAAATGCCTCGTTTAAACACGCCCCCACATGTCTATGTCATGATGTGGGAAGATTTGCATAACGCCAGCCAAATGTATACGCAAAGAAAGGCGGCGTAACTTTGATTCTCGCTGTGGTATTGTTGTCGCCGCCATATCATGGAGACGCTGTGTGTTTCGTTGTGAAAGCAAAATTACTTTGTTTGGCCTTCCAAAAGAGGACACAACTAGAAATCAGTGGTTAAGTTGTATTTAAAACACTGTTCCAGAACAGTTCAAACCAAATATTCAGATGTGTGCAACGCATTTTACGGAGGACGAGGACTGTTTCCTGGGAGTGTAAACTACAATGCCGGTGTTCCGGTGAATTCAGTTCCCATTTTCCCTTCGGCGCGCATGCTGACCACAGTCTATTATGCTGACAAATAATGCTGACTCACAGCCTGTAAGTACGTTTTCATATTTAAAGGATTTGCCACTGATGATTCAAATGCGAGTTTTGAGCAGTGTAGAGTAGCGCTTGTTGTTTGTCGTTTCTCCAATCACAAATGCAGACATGGTTTTATGTTTATTTGGCGTGATACAACGCAACGCGTAAAAAGACAGTATAAGTCATTATAATCAGTAATTATGTCCCCACTGGATGCAACAAATGCCTCGTTTATAATGGGTTTTATTGGTGTTGTCTCAGCGCGCCGGGGCACAGCATCACAGTATGGTGAGGGGCGTAACATTTCTGTCACACGCTTGAGGGATTCGGCCAATCACAACGCACTGGATAGCTGGCCAATCAGAGCACACCTCACTTTTCAGAACAATGAGCTTTGTAAAAATCGACGCGTTTCAGAAAGGCAGGGCATAGAGGAGAAACAATAATGTACAGTATGTGGAAAATAATGTGTTTTTTTAACCTTAAACCACATAAACATTTGATTACACCAAATACACAAAATAATGTTCTTTTTTAGCAACGTCATATGACCCCTTTAAAGATTTGCAGAAATAATCATGCGCTATTATATATCAAATAGTGGCCAAAATATATTGACCGATAAAAAATCTAATATTGGTGGATAAAGAATATATTACTGATATTTTGTGCATCTTCACTGTATGTTGATAAAGCACAAACTAACAAACTGGCAGAGATTATAACCCTTGTTTTAGCACAGGTGAGCAGGCGTTTCTTTTCTGAGCAGGCCATATAAGTGTAAGTGGCATTTGAGAAACCCTAAATGGTGTCTCGGGTATCTTTTCATTTTCACAGTGGTTAGGGAAGCAAAAATGGCACATTCACATAAGCAATCAAGCTGTTCCTCTGTCTAAGACTATAACTTAGACAGCTGGAGCAAAAGTCAGTAGATATGGGGGCACAGATGGAACACAAAACAGGTTGTTTCATTTCCCTTCAAACAATTGTGTCTGAATGGGCTCCATACTGTTGACTATGATTTATCCAAGATCACACAGGTTCATGTGGTTTAAAGGAAGTGCATTTCTTGTTTTGCCAGCTTATGGTATAAGGAAGTCAAAGAATAATTTAAAAGGAAATGGGAAAGAACTGCTCATGTCTTCTCAAATCCTGTTCCTCGGTCGGGTCACAAGATTTAATACTGTCTAAAGTAACATTTTAGAAGGTGAAGTCTCTTTATCTTATGTACGTTGTCAGTGATGTCCTGTAACAAAGGAAATGATGTGCATCAGACAGGGCTGAGCGATTTTATTTGAAATCAACTGCCACATTTTCCTCCACAGTAGAATTATAAGCCTGCAAAAATATAAACGTTGGTTATAAACCTAGTCTAGTCCATCACTAGGCTT